GTTGCGCTGGCTGCCGACACGGACACAGGGCTGCCACTGGCCCGGCAGCCCTGGGCAGCGCAGGTTAGCCGCGTTCTCGCGGCGGCCGGCGCCCCCTGCGACTTGACTGCTGACGAGGGGGTTGCCATACCTGAATTGGCGGAAGCGCTCCTGGAGCGCCATGTTGCCTCGTACACGCATGCATCCGTGAAGGTGCAGCGGTACATTGAGGACGTGTGGGGGGGCAGCATCTCTGCGGAGGCCTACACGCCTGCGTCGTTCCTGTGCGATGTGCCCGAGCGCCGGCGCCGGGTGCGCCTGGCGCAGTGGCACACGGGGTCGCACTGGATGGCTGAGGAGACAGGCCGGTGGCAGCGGCTGGACCGCACCCAGCGCCCATGCCCCCACTGCCAGGCCCCTCTAGAGGACGTACGCCACGCAGTGTATGACTGCCCCCTATACGCTGGGCTGAGGGAGGAGTATGCTGAGCTCTTCCACAGTCCCGGCCACGCCTTGCCCTCCCTGGCCGCCTTCCTCGGCCAGGCCAGGCAGGGCCGGCTGGCCCGGTTTGCCGACCGGTGCCATGAGGAGCATGCTGCTGCCCTGGCACAGTGACTCCCCCGGTTCCCTTGAGTAGGGACCAGGCATCTTTTGCCCGGCCTTGGCTCCCGACCCACCCCCTCCCCCCGCGGGTAAGAGCAGCGTCAGCGTCAGCAAGCAGCGGTCAGCGGCAGCCCCACCACCCCCACCTCCACCTCACACACTCACTGGCCCTTGCGCGATGGCACGCCGGCATGTTGGCATGGGAACGCCAAGCCCGGCACGGTAGCGGCGGCTGACTGAGTAATGGCACAGCCGACCGCCGCGGCAGGCCACTTTGCACTCCTGCCTGCAATGCATGCACCCTTACATGTGCAGCCTTCTGGTATTTTCATGTGCCTGGGAGATGTGCGGGCATGGGGGCCCATGTGCCCCATGCCATTTGAGTGCCCGGCGGCGGCGCTGCCTGCCGCCGGGAGCCCGCACCAGCATCGGCACCCGTCGGCCTGGCAGGCCTAAGCTGCTAAGGATCCCCACGTCCCCCACCACGTTGTGGGGGTTGCGTGTCCGGCAGGACGGGGAGCGGGGCCAGGGTGGGGTGACCCTGGGACGCTCAGCTGGGGGGAGGGTGGTCGGAGC